GCTTACATGCAGCAATCCTCTTATCTTAGTTTCTCTTCATTACTGAATGCTCTTCACTCGTGGTATGACACAATTTTACTTCCACACTATTATTCAGAATCTAGATTGTTCAGGACCATTAAATATTTCTTTACTTTGCTCCCTAGTTCGTTTTTAGTGAACTGTATATTTATTCTAAGAAAATTTGGATGGAAGTAATAATTCAAATCTTTTTTTTATTTTAAAACAAATTATATTTTAATGTAATAAATATAATAATTAATATGATTCTGAGAACGCTTTATCTAATCTTATCTAATCGGCATATAAAATGTGAAGAATTATATTTAATCAGTGCAATAAATTAGTCTAAATGATAATATTAAAATAATACATTTTCTTATAATTTCAGTAAATGGAATTGGTAAGCCCGGAAATCATATATTAATTTTTAATACCAAGTAAATAATTTATCACAAAAGAAAAATGTATTTATAATTTGTATAAATATCTTAAGTTTAAAAAATTACAATTTGTATGCTAGTATAGGTAAATAATTAAGAACTAATTTGCATATAATTGATATAATAAGTTTTGAAAATAACAATTAGTTAATTATAGGAAATTATTGGCATACTAAAACCATAGACTTTGAGAATTGTTTATATGTATTGCGTGATCAACTTTGTCAAAATCCTATTTAAAATCCGTACATTTACATGGAACCTACTTGGGACTGTCTTTTAAAAGCATAAAAATCAAAATTAGTGAATATTTCATTGCATGTCATAGTATAGCGAACCCAGTTCGAAATCAGTGCTGCTCTTCCACGATGACCTTGTTGATAAATGGAGTAATGGAATTCAGAACAAGTGATTCAAATAGTTTGGAAATATGAGATTGTATAGTCGTATAGATAATATCGTGTGAAGGATTGGCGTACACTGAATTTCTCACCTATATCATAGACCGTTTTCTAACATTAAAGCACCACCACTGATAGCTAATCTTGGAGTTTCATATGAACATTTTTAGAGAGCATCACAGCATCTAGACACCGATCTAAGCCAAAAACGGTTGGTCAGTTAATCTTGTACTTGCTTGTACTTGTAACTCATACAGCCACGATGTTGACTTCATAGGCAATCAGGTGGATGCCTGCGGGATCCATCTGTACTATCCCATCCATCATCTCAGTTAACTTTGTGATATACTGATATGGTTCACTGAGGATGTGCAACTCAATATTTTGCTCTTGCCCTGTCTACTCTAGCATCTGATGATTGGTCCAAAGCTGTCTTGTAATGTGTAATTATACACAAGTCGATGATTTGAGCATTTGAGCTCATTTTAATAGAAGGGTCGACTCATTGTTAAAAACACACTTCCGTTTTTGCCAGGGTATTGTCATGTTGTGGCGTAAAGGTATTTATTGACATGTCCTTTCGCGCAATTGGTATTATCGGGTTTTTTGATTTTATATAAGCTGTGTTCCCGCGTAACATATTATTGAGAACTTGTGATTTATATTATCAATTAAAACTATGATATATAGGTATATATTTTTAATTTGATATCCGCAGACTTGTTTTAAATATAATTTTATATTATTACAAAATATCATACCTATGAAATACCTAAAAATCAATTAATATTATCAATATTTATATAGTTGTAGAACAAAAATCAATTTTCGGTGAGAATATTATTATAATATATTTATTTTAAATTAAAATAGATCTTTAAATAAACTATTCATTTCGAGCATTTTATAATATTAAAATTTATATTCGTAAAAAAATAGTTTATTTTTTAAAAATAATAGAAATTTTTTTTATTGATAATATAACGACGTGACTGTATAATTATTTGTATACTTTTTGTTAGCTTCTGAATTTTTTTTAGGGTTACGTACGGTAAGACGGACCCTATTACTAATGCTCCACTGTCCGTCTGTCTGTCACCAGGCTGTATCGCATGAACCATAAAAGTTAGAAAGTTGAAATTTTCACTGATTTGTATTTCTATAGCAAACTAAAACAACGAATATTAAAAATTCTAGAATAAATAATATAAGCAGTGTTGCCAACATGTTTATAGATTATGGTACGGAATTCTTCGTGCGGGAGTCCGACTCGCACTTGGCCGATTTTTGATAGATAGTATCATATTATTGTAACTTATAATTCACTATTAAATAATAAATAAAACGTTTAAAATGAATACAATAACGTAATTTTGTTAAGAAATTTACCACCATACCTACCAAACTTGTAAATATAAACTAATTTATTATTACTTTTTTACATTCATACATGATACAGGGGTTACCAAAAGTAATGTTAAACATTTATTTATTAGTATTGTAGTAATTGTATGTACAATATACATTCCAATTTTGAGCAAGTTAATGAAAATAATTAACTGTGGCAATTTAAGATATTTCAATTAAATTTCCTTCAGTTAAGTTAAAAGTTAACAAAAAAAAATTTAACTAGATAAGTTTAAAGTTGAGATAAAAAATAAACTTAACTTAACTCAGTTAAAAAAAAAGTTAATTTTTTTCAAGTTACAATATTTTTAAGTCTGCCATTAATTTTGATTTACACAAACATTTATAGCGACGTTTTACACTGTGTAAAAAATTTGATCATTACGACAATGATAGGTTTATTTAACTATAAAAAGTTAAGTTATAACAATAAACATTTTAACTGAATGAGTTAATAATAAACAAATTAACTAGTTAAGTTATAAGGCTTAACAAAATTAACTTTTGAACAAGTTAATGCCCACCTTTGATACATTCTACCTAATGCGTAATGACCATTTTACCAATCCTATAATAATTATATATGATCTGTCTCGCCTACCTGTTACCCCACGGCATAATAAAAACGGCGGCAAGTTAACATAACACATATAATGAATGTGATATTCAGTTCAGTTTGATGTTAGCATTATATACCAAACACAGAATAACATTTTTATAAAATTACTAAATTAACTGATAAACTAATTAACTATACTCCAAATCGTAGTATTTTATAAACTTTAATAATTATTATGTTTATACATTTGCAGGGATGACAGTTGGTAAATCCACTAATTTTATATATACATAATTATAATTCATAACACTAATCATATAATAAAGATTTACATTTATACATTCACAGATATTAATGGTAAACTCATTAACTTTTTAAATTAATTAATAATAAAACAAAATACTTCCACACATTATGTTCACAGTAAAATTTCCTTAAGAACATGTTACCCTATAAGTTAAAAATCTCTTAAAACAGAAAATAATAACAGTTCGTATAACCTATATTATTTTAGTTTTGTTCTAACGGAAACTGTAATCAACGTATTTACCCACAGCACATCACTAGATATAACAAATTGATAATACAAATTGATTAGAAATTAACTGAATACTTTGAAAAAAGTACTTACAAAACATAGAACACCAAACTAAAAACCGAAAGTATTTATAATATTATTGAATTAACTGTTGAAATTGTTTATAAATCGTAGAATTTTAATAACTTAAATAATAATTAACTTTATAAATTAACAGATATTTATAAATGTAAGTCCACTAATATTTTACATAATTTATAATTCATAACACTGATTAGTGACGGTCAAATTATTTTGTCATGGGAAAGGGGGGATATTGCTGATTTTTTAACATGCATTATTTTATCATTAAAAATATTTATAAAATTATGGAAAATACAAACATTATTTATAACTTAGGTATACAGACTTTATAAATATATTATAGTACTAACAATATTTTTATTATATTTATTAGTAAATTTATTTTTTTGTTTTTTTTTTTTGCTAATTCGTCCAGTACTTCATTGGATGTTAATAAAACACTGCACCAACCACGTTTGAAGTCGGGAGGCGTAGGAATGTATCGACAAGATCTATGTATTATGTAAAGCGCGGGTCAGACCGTTTCGGTCACAAGGGACACCGGTTGCAATAATGTACAGTTAAAAAATTTCTGAAACAAATTTAATTGATGACCCACGTATTCGGCGAAAATGAATAAATAAGCTGCCGGACTATTTTCGGCCAACTCGGTGCCGTGTTCTGTTCCTGATTCGGTGGGCGTCAGACTGGCGGGACCAGCCGTAGCGATTACAGCGATTTGTTCGTGCCGTTCCGGCTACGACGCGCTCACCAGTTTGTCACAGAACATGAGACCAGCCGCATCGCATACCTATGACGACAGAACGCTGTGGGAGTGGCTTCGACAGCAGCAGCAGCCAATGCCTCGGGCAACCAGCGTTATCGCCGCCGTTCAACCACGGCCAATCACCAATCAGAAACATTTCATGGGAGGCTCCAGTGACGACGCGGCGTCCGAGATCAGTCTATAAATACGAGTGCGGAGCACCAAATCTAGTCAGTGTGTTCAACGGAGGGCCTTCTGCAGAAAGACCTACCCAGGCAGACAGATGCACAGATAGACTTCATACACATTACTATTACAAATCAAACTAAAAAAAATTACAATATTTTCTTTACTCTAAAATAAAACAAATTAAAAAATACAGTCAACTGTCATTTATTTTTCTAGCCGGAACACATGTCATCTTTGGGCTGGATTAGAATGGCTGCCGAACTAAAGGATCTCATCGGTCGTCGGGGAGTTATGAAATGGAAAATCATTGCCTTTCAGAAATTCTTTGACAGTGCCAACTATCAACAAGAATGGAACTAAGCATGCGAACCACAAGACTTGAAGCTTCTTATGGGAACTTCCTCGTTGGTTAAACTCGGATAGAGTTATTGGATTCCCATGAAGAACAGCTGGAAGAACGCTCAATGGTTTTTCTTGAGGCAGCTCAAACAAATCAAAGGAGAGCAAGCCAAACCTCGAGCATCAAAAACGCAGCAGAGTATATAAGACGGCCCAACACTGAATCAGCCATCAGACTACCTTGACGGCCCTCAAACTTCCGGTAAAACATTGGAACACCAAAATCGTCCATATAATGGTAGACAAACTAGACGTCGAATTCCACCGTTTGTGGGAAAGTAGCAGTTCCAGTGCCTCACTTCCTTCAATGCTGTGTCTAACCCTAGAGTCCATTGAAACAAGATCTAACTATGGCAAGATTGCACTGCCAAGCCCATATGCTACCAACACCAAATTATTAGCAGCAAAAAAGCGATCTTACACCACCGCCTTTGCAGCTACTGACAAATCAGTTTCATCATGTACGTTATGCTGCAGCATGCGCTGTAAGCTGGCCAAATATTTTTGGGAATGACCGTCAGCGAGCGCAGAAAACACGTGGGATCGAAATGGCTGTGCTACAACTGCCTCAGCCTGAACCATATGTCAAGAGTATGCTCACTTGGATCTTGCAGGACATGCCTAGGCAAACACCACAATTTGTTGCATATCATGGCCCCAACGGAGGTTCAAGTGGCAACAGCCGCAGACGCTATTGAATGACAACAATAATAATGACAGCAGACCACGTTGCTCCTATCAACCGCCGTCGTAATTGTCTCCAGCCTATGGGGTTCAACTCATTCAGCACGCTCATTAATTGATTCCAGCTCACAATGCTACTTTATATCTTCACGTTTGGTCAAACGCCTGGGTTTGTAAGGGAGAAATTCTTCAACGTCAATTATCGGAATAACGCTGTCAAATTTTCAATCTACACGCAGTGTCCTGCGCCAGATTAAATCCAGGGTCAGCACCTTTGTACAACCCTAAAATTCATCATAATCCCAAAAATTATTGGAGAATTAGCAGCTCGATTTCCTCCAAACTCAATACAAATACCAGGAGACATACAACTAGCTGATCCTAGTTTTTGGAGACCCGGAAGTGTAGAAATGCTAATTGGAGCGGAAATCTTCTACCAATTGATTCGTTCTGGTCAGGTCAAACAAGAACCAAATCCACCATTGTTATTTCAGAACACTTTACTTGGCTGGATTGCATTGGGAAACATCAGCCAGTCTAATGCCAAGAGATTAACGGCTGCTTCGGCAATGGTTCTTGACACCGATAATTTGGTTCAAACCATCCGGAACACATGCCATATAAACAAGTATAAACATATTCTGACATTCTGTCGAAATTTACAATAGTTAATAATTTGATTTTGAAAAAAAAAATAGAACAAAATTTAATGCAATACAGAATATACTAAATTATAAATTGTTATAAGTATTGAAAAAAAAATCATGGGGGATATATCCCCCGACCCCCTCAACCCCCTCCCCCCGTTTGACCGCCACTGACGCTGATCATTTAATAACTAGTTATGTTTATACATTCACTACAGATATTAAAAGTAAGCTCATATAATAATATTCGACTTAATTTATAATATACTATAATTGAATATAATATTATAATATGAAGTATATGTAAATACTTTTATAAGTCTTGATGCCGGTGTTAACGTTTCTAGTGGACTATTTTATAAATTATTATATAATACTATCATTACACATATATTTATATAATCTACATCGTGGTTATAACTTAACAATTTGTATTAGTTTTAATTTTAACCGATATGAGTGCTATATGCGAAAACAGTTGCAAATCACGTGACTTTTGGATTCCGTATGCCGTCGCCGTGTGATAACATTTTTCTAATATGTCGTTGGGCCTTAGATCGGGTGGGGGTTGTCTGGTCGAAAATCTAGTGACCGAAAGTCTAGTATCACACGAATGCATTATTAATTCTAATAGTATCATCTCTACCATAAACATATTAATTATTAATATGTCTATGATCTCTACCCAAATAAAGTCATTTACGTTGTGAAATACCAATATTTTTCAAACTTGAAATTGCTACAGTAATTTGTACTAAGCAGTAAGCATCAAATAAATATACCTGTTTTCATGCTAACCAGGGGTTCTAAAAGTATTGCTTATTAAATGCATAACAGCATAGCAGGTGCAGTTGTGTTTCAGCTGTTTTATGAAAAATGTTATGTATCCTTACAACAAAAATATTTTATTATCGTATAAGGCAAATCGATAGACATAATATATCTATGGGTACATCGTAAATAGTAGATACACCATATATACAATATGTATAATATAAATATGAGTACTACAAACTGGTGAGGGTGAGGGTAACCGTTAAGCGCGGCGTTTTTCTTTTCAAACTAGCCATCTGCACTGGCGACAGAAATTCCATTGACCTTATTGTACTTATTGTTATTTAATTGAAAGCAAATTGTGTACAGAAACCGTTTTTTTTTTTCATAATGTGTTAGTCTGCGATCGTCTGCCTTTCGTGGATGTGTTGTTTGCTATCGTTTGAGTTTAATGTGATTTTTTTATACGGCTGTTTTAATATTGTACAATATTTTAATTTTTATTGTGTGTTTTTTTTTCACTAATCGTCTGTATAAATTATTTTTTTGAAATGTCAATTCCACCCGATATACATTCCCAAACGAAAAACACAATATACAAAGTGTATATATTTTTTAAAAACTTAGCTAAGTGCAAAGACAAGCCGGAATTGGCCGATTATTTTCGACAATCACAGGAGAGGACGGCCGATGCTTGTGCAGTGAGTCTGAGAACTGTACAACGAATATGCAATGAAAGCAAAACGAAGGAAATCAAGATGAATCATTATGTATCGTAAGTCCTAATGACCTTAAATTTCAACCACCACGAAAAAGATATAGTCGCGAGAAAACTGTTACTGAACTTGATGATTTTGACAATGAAGTGGTCAGAAGAGTTGGCCATAGCTTTTACGACAAGGATGAGTTTCCAACGATTGCTAAAATATTATTGGAACTGCGTGAAAAATTAAATTACCGTGGATCAAAATCGTCGGTAAAATAATTTTAAAACAACTTCATTTTAAGTACACAAAATGTAATGACGGTCACAAATTCTTGATGGAACGGTCCGATGTAGCTGTTCGCTTTAAATTTCTTAGAAAAATGAACGAGTTTCGAAGGAACGGTTATAATCGGCCAGTAGTCTACTTAGATGAAACCTGGGTTAATCAAAATCATACTGTCAAAATGAAGACAATGGAAGGCTTAAAAGTACCTACAGGCAAAGGCAGTCGCCTCATCGTATGCCACGCCGGATCTCATTCCTTCGGATTCATTAAAGAATCAAAACTTATTTTTAGATGTAATTCTGGTGACAAAGATAACCATTCGCAAATGAACGCCACAATTTTTGAAAGTTGGTTTTCACAAATATTACTCAGCTTAGAAGATCCGAGTATCATTGTCATGGATAACGAGTCGTATCACTATTCGTTGGTCGAGAACTATCCGAAGTGCAACAGTAGAAAGGCAGATGTTCAATGGTGGTTACGGGATAAAAATATAGATTTTTCTCCCGTAGAAACACTTGACGAGTTACGGGAAAATTTGAAACTTTCGATGCCGCGCAGAAAAAAATAAAAACTGGATGAACTAACTTTCCAAATGGGTCATGAAGTGGTAAGGCTTCCCCCTTACCACTGTCAGTATAATCCAATAGAACTTATTTGGGCCCAAGTTAAATGCAGAGTGACTGAAAAAAATTCAACGTTCAAAATTGCAGATGTAGAGACACTTGTGCATAAAGATATCGATGCAGTTACTCTGGACGATTGGGTCAAATGTGGAGAACATTGCGTCAAGATTCAGGAGGAGGACTATGTCAAAGCGGGACAAAGGGATGAGATATTAAAACCGATAATATTGACTATTAATCCTGACGAAAGCAGTTCAAGTGAAGATGACGACGATGATTACTAGATTATTTTAATTCTGAAAAAATTTTTTTATATAAATATCATTATGATAGTTTTAAATTGCATTACTTAGTTATTAGTTTTTAAATGTACATACATATATGATTGCGTAAAAAAATTAAATATCAATATTATGTTTTACTGTTATATTATTTACTTGTTAGCGAATGTGATAATAATTAATAGATAATACGTTTTAAGTACAGAAATATCGTATGTTAAGTTTTTATTACAACTCCAGAGCTTTTAAAATTATTTTATGCGGGAATATAGTCTTGGAAACACTGACAGAAATTTACCACTAGGCGTGCGAAGGTCACCCGCCTAGTTTCGCTGGCCGCACTATAGTATCGTGTACCGGGAAATTTTGAAGGTTTTGGGGATGATGTTGGACACAATTCGGTGCAATAGCAATTATACGCATAGCTCCATCCATAGTATATGATCTAAGCGTTGGGCGAACATACTATCTCAAATCGCTGTTTACACTTATATAGTTATATCTATGGTTTATTATTATAATTATTCAAATTTACGTCAATACACATTACTAAGATTAGGGACTTATAGCATTAGCATACTTTTTTAATTATTGTTAAATATAGCAGAGTGCGAAATAAATTTGTTCCTCGGTGCCATGATATCACACCTAAGATTTGAATGTGCTTATTTTGCATATTTTGACAAATTTTTCAAATTTAAATATAAAAACTATAGATACATATAACTATATAAACATATTTCAACCGATCGAAAAAAAAAATTATTAATACTTACAGTAATATGCTGTCTGCAAACCACCTCTCATATCTCGTTATAATTTTTGTGTAAGTATAAATAATAATATAATCCCTTATCGACTGTATAACCCGTTGGATATCGACTAGATTTCAATAAAGATAATAGTCGATATAGAACAATAGATTATATTTTGTTCCGTGTTCAGTTCAGTCAATTATTATTTTTCGTTGTTTTTGCCAAAAGTTATGCATTTAAAAATATGGTAATTTTTTTTGTATAATTATTATTTATTGATTACCTATTAATTATAAATATTTAATTCTCGGTTTAATTTATCCAAATTTTAAGGTAAATATTTATTTTTTCAAATTTAGTTGTTGCATATTCAATAATAAAAGTTGTATCTTTGATTAATAATTCTTATTTATTGTTTATTATTTATTAATTGTTAGATATACATTTTAACTAATAACTTTTTTAAGTTAAAAGTGAAATTAACCAAGATTTAGTGGTCAATTTTTTTTTTTTTTAATGCATATAAATGCATATAAAAATGCATATTTCAATAATTTTAGCACCATATTTGCATGCATATTTGTGTATTTTTTAGAGCTATAAGACTAAAGCCTGCACATTACACATATATAGAATAGTTTAATAGAATAATATAGAATACCGTGTGACCACTGTCATAATATGTTTAGGTAGGAGTCTGAAGGTGCAACACACATATTTAATACATTTATTATAAAAATGATACAATGGTTTAC